TTACTGCATACATTGATAAAAACGACAATGTTGAACACAACATAGAGAAAAAAAAAAGTATTCCTACATCTTACTATGCTTGACTTTGATGATGACAAAAGAACTGATGAAAAGCTTTTTTTTCTTACGCTCTTCCTATATATATATATATATATATATATATATTCTATTCATGGTTTCTTTTCTCTTACAGTTTAGATATAAAGAATTTTTATAAATGACTTCTAAAATATCTTTAGTCGTATTTGGTTTATTATTAGTAACCATAGCCATTGTTGTTCAATCTACACCTGTTGAACCCATTAAAAAACGTAAGATCTTTTAATTTTGATTATTAAAACATTTTTTTTACTTATTTAGTTCTTCAATTGTCCAAGAGGGCTGTACAAGAATCTATTGATGAAACGGAACCATCAATAGCTTCGACTAGTTCTACAACAACCGTTTCTTCTCAATCATCGAACACACCTGTAATACAACATAAAATCAATGATATTAAGAAAAAACGTAATATTTATAATTATGATCAATTCGATGATAATCTTGTAGATGATGACAATGATTTTGAAAATATATTATATCCAAAAATTAAAGAAAATCCAATCGAAATTTATGATAAAACAGATAGTAAGGTTTTTTTTTCTGTTAAGAATTTTATATGTAATTACTAAATCTTAATAATCTTATTATGACTTCAAAAATTTTTATGTTTCTTAGAATCAGTTAATACAGATAATACAAATGTATTTACTGATACTATAATGGATCCAACTGAATTTACAAATCTTGCACGAAAACGTCGTAGTATTAAATTAAATCCAAGATCTAAACAAAGACAAAAACGAGCTTTATCATTATACAATTTTTATAATAATGATCCGGTAATAAATGACAAAAATATTTTGTTTTAATCAATTGATTTTTAATTACTTCCTAAATATCAAACATTAGCTTATTTTTTTTTCATTTTGCTATTATTAATAACAAAGTTGTGCATAGATTACTGTTAACTTTTTGTTTGACATTTATCTGAGGATAATATTTATTTTAAGGGTATATCGGACAATATATTGAATGTAAAGTAAATTGTAGGTAACAATTGACATTAAGTTTTAAAGAAAAAACAAAAAAAAAACGAATAATAAATCATAGAATTTCATTTACATGATTATTATCATTTTAGTTATATGAACCATTAATTGAACGTCAACAATTTATCCGTCCAAGCCGAGCTTTTATGTAAGAATTTATTTATTTATTTATGTCTCTTTAATCAGTTATTTATATTTTTTAGTTCACCCTTTTGGTACCCATCTACATATGAACGAAATATTCGTTCACTTCGTGAACCAGTTGTTTATGAATTACCTGAATGGAATAAAATCTATGCGGATACTATTGAAAACGATGATGATCAAAGTAAAAACAAAAAACAAACATAATTTTTTTTTCTTAAATTATATTATTTATTTAGTTCCATTTCCTACGAATGATGATGATGATGATGATGATGATGATATTGGATATGGATATGAATATGAATATAATCGTTATCCATTTTTCTCAGAATCATCTAATATTCCATACGATAATTTACAATTACAACAAGAATATAATGATGACAATTTACCAATATATGAAGATGATGATGATCAAGCTGATGAAGATTTTCTAGTAAGATTCGTTTATTTTAATTATATGTCAATTTGTTTGTTTTTGTTTTTTGTTCTAGACGCCTTATGGACCAATGGAAAGTTATTTTAAATAACGAATAGCTATGCATATAATTGTTGTTTTCAAAAAAAACACGAGAAACAGAAATAAAGAAAATAAAAATATTTAATTTGTTTGATCTAGATGCACATATGTATTATGATCATAGGATAGTAAAAAAAACATGTTTTTTTTTCGTGGTCTATCTCTTCCTTTCCTTTTTTTTCAATTTCTTTCATCATACATATATATATATATATAACATTGATATTAATCATTATTCATACACATGTATATTTAGGAGAAGGGTTAAAAACCTTCCGCTTTTTTTTCTACGTATGATAAATATTGCTCACCCTTTTTTTTCTGTTCTAAAATGAAAAGTCAGTTATTTGAAGTACAATGAATGTGACGGGTAATATTCAATGTGATATTTGCAAGACAAGTCATGGTTTTAGTTCAGCTGATCAACGTGCAATTATTGTTATGACTGTTTTAGTGGCTATTGCTCTTGTATTTTGTTATGTAGGTGTATTATGGTTTGCTATTCGTACACGTTTTAAATTGTCTAAAAATTCAAATGTTATCGATCATACGATGCATAAAAATGAGACATTTAATAATGATGATGAAGAAAATTTTGATGAATATGTACAGCCAATAGAAAATATAAGAAGTCCATTACCACCAACTACATCAACACAACATGTTTATTTTAAAACAGAAAAAGAATAATATTGAAAATTTTATATGTTAAAATAAAAACTATTTTCAGGTTTTTATTTATTTCTTGTTATTAAATATGAATCATTTTTATTGTATTTAATAGGATTCGAATTAAAGACATTTTCCTTCATAATATATATATATAATTTTCAGATAACATCCTTGGATAACAGATACACTCACTCCATGAAGATGTAAGGTATATATGTCATCTATTTTCGAATCAATTCGTCATAGTTGACTTACCAATACTTCTTATGATGCTATTATGACTTTTATAAATATACAGATCATAGATGGAATTTTTTTTAATGTATCGGACCAAGTTCAGTTTCTAACGGATGGGGCAAAAGTTTTGCATTAATTTTGTTTTTGATATAACTCTGCAATGTAATGTCGTGGAGACTTGATTTTTTTTTTGTTAGAAAGAGCAAAGTGTTTAGTGCAAGAATTTATAAAAGAGTTTGATTGGAAATGTTTTTCGAAAACTATAATAATTTTAGAACAGAAGGCGTTGGAAAACTCTTCCGCAACTTTTTTGAACTTAGAAAAAAATTCCTATAATTAGACAGGTTATCTTTTTATTCGTCTAATCCGGATTTTATAATATAAGGATAGAGCACTATTGCGTTACAAAAAAAGAAATTTTCTACATGTTTTATAACGGTCGAAATGAATGCTTTTATGATATCGTCTGTTTCATCAATTCTTTATCATTGTTGGTAGCAATCGAAAAAATAAACTCTATTTCGCAGGAGAGATTGCTAGAAGCTATATATTTTATATGAAAAAGAAAGTTTATTGAGTCCTCTACCAAACGATATTATTTGGAATAGGACGCAACTTCTCTATGACATATTCAGAAAAAAAACTTATTTTCACGCTACAAAACCAAATTCGAACAATTAATTTGTTTTTATCAACGTGTCTTTTGTTCATTCTCTTGTATGTTATACCAATTATTTTAATACCAAATGAAAACCTCCGTTGTAATGAGCAACTGTATATATATGGCGCTCGAAAGTGTCGAAAGTGACTAATGAAAAAGGCTCAAACAAATATTTTTGGATTAAAAAAATGTGACCGAAGTTGCGGAAGAGTTTTTTGGAGCCTTGTGTTCTAAAACTATTATAGCCTTCGAAAAACATTACAAATCAAATTCTTTTATATATTTTTGCACTAGACACTTTGCTCTTTCTAACAAAAAAAAAATCAAGTTTGTACGATATTGCGTTGCAGAGTTATATCAAAAACAAAATTAATGCACAACTTTTACCCCACCCGTTATAATATAAATATTCGACTACTGACACGAAAATGACACTATCAGCTAATTAGTAGGGTGTAATGAGGATGTAGGTATGAGTGTATTCTCGTCATTCTCATCTAGACATACAATTGAAGAAAAAAAAAAAGATATGAAATATATGTATGATTCAAAGTAATTTACTCATTAATATTCTTCCTATTTTTTACCTTTCTTTTTCGTAAAAAAATTTGTTTTCGTAGAAATAGTAATTGGTATGTTTTTGATGTTTGATTAAATCGGCATTTTTTCATTTCGACCAATAGTATGATTTACTATTTTAATTTAGAAACTCAAATTGTTGAATCTTTTTTTTTGCGAACATATCAATTTAACAAACATGTAAGAAAAATTACCGTTGTATTCAATTAAAATCTGATTTTTCGTCAAGACTTTTTACATGCATTATGCATTCCGGAATTGATAACAATCAAGAAGCTTTTACTAACGATGGTATCTTGTCAGCTGTTCCTATTGAGATTTGACTAAACTACCTGTCTATTTTCTAGAGATCTCAGCTTTTCGAATTTTGATCTGTCACTTTATGCATATAAAGAACTCAACTAGACTTGCTTTATGAAACTTAGTTCACATATATGTAGTGATTAGACTAGCTCATAGAAAAAGTCTCAAACTTTTTTTTCTACAGGCTATTCTAATCGGTGCTTTTAAGTGAGCGAAGTTTCAAGTAAAATTTCAAAAGTATGATTTCGCTTGAAAACTGAAGCTCTACAGAAGAAATCTAGTAAACATTCGAAATCTGAGCAGCTCGAAATACTCTAGGATTTTTACCTACTCACTAGATCTTATCGATTGAATAGAGACCCAATTCGAAAGCGCCCTATCACTTGGGAACCTTTTCTCATTTGTTAAATATCAATAGAAACTCATATCTGTTTAGAGTTTCAATTAGAACACTATGCAATATTTATAGACAAAAAGAAATCATTGAAATCAGAAGGAGACAGTAGAAGATGTTTTCTCGTTAGCGAACGTTTTAGAAAGTTCATTTTAATGATAAATAAAAACAGAATATTTATTTGATTCGATAACACTTCTTATCGTCGCAGAAGATCGATTGAATTATTAGCTACATTGGAACAGTGTAAGATGTAACACTTTGATATCGATTAGTAGGTTAAAAGTTCTTATTATTTTGTAAGCATAAAAATGATTTGATCCTATTCAACTTGTAATTGTCGACTATAACGATCATTTTTTGATGCTTGAGAAATATTTATTTAAAATTTTAATATTAAATTCGAAAATTTTCAAAACAAGTAAACAATAAAATTAAAATTAATATTTTACTATAAGAATAAGAATTTGTTCTACTTATTACTGTATAAAATGATGATAATTCTATACGTGCAGTTGATGTTGTTGCTGTATTTGTACATAAAATAAGTGTAGTTGGTGTATCAAATGTTGCATTTATTTGATAACCACAATTTTTATAAAATCCATAAATAATTTGTGTACGATTTAATAAACGTGTTTCAGCTGTTTCAGTACGACGTGTTGAATTTATTGATGGTTGTAAACTAAATAATGTAAGAAATGTTATAAGTAAAGTAAGAAAAAATAATCCACATAAAATTAATCCCCATAAAGGACATCCATAAAACCATTCACAACAACTATATGAACGATTATGTAAATCACAACGACCTTTACATAAATTACAACAATAAAAATGACGATATTTATAATCTGTTTTGTAAATTTTTCGTTTTCCATAATCAAGATCAGATGAATAATAACCACTAGGTGTATGTGGTCGATGATCATATGGACGATGTATGACACGATGTACAGGTGGGACTATAGTTGCTGTTTGAATAGGTATTTGTGGTGGTATAGTTGCTGTTGTTGTTGTTTGAATAGGTATTTGTGGTGGAAGAACAAGAACCGGTTGTTTGACAATTTCAGGTTGTGGAGTAATAGTGGAATGAGTAGAAATTGTTGGACTACTTGAATATGTCGATGTTGAAAGACTTTTTAGACGACGAGATTGATTTTGTGGTCTTTCTGGAATTGTAGTTGTTTCAACGGTTGTTACTTGAGGAACATTTGTAGCTGTTGAAGTAGTGATTGTTTGTATTGCTGGTGTTTCTGGTTTTGTAGCAGTTATTGTAGTTTTTATTTCTTCAGTAACAAAATTTTTGTCTATTGTTGGTAAAGTTGTTGAATTGAGTATTCGAGTTGTTGTTGTTTTTGTTGTTGTTGTCGAAGTACTGTGCGGTTGTTGTTGAATATTCGTTTGAGAAGTTGTTGTAGTCGGAATAGGAGGAACAGTAACTGAAGGTGTTTGATAATATACAGTAGGTATTGGTTGTTGTGAAACAGTGACTTCAGGTGCTGTTGTACTGGATAGAGGAGGAACAGCAATTGAAGGTGTTTGATAATATATAGTAGGTACTTGTTGTTGTGAAACAATGGCTTCAGATGCTGTTATACTGGGTAGAGAAGGAACAGCAACTGAAGGTGTTTGATAATATACAGTAGGTACTTGTTGTTGTGAAACAAAGACTTCAGGTACTGTTGTAGTAGGCAGAGAGGGAACAGGAACTGTAGGTACTTGATAATATACAGTAGGTATAGTTTGTTGTTGCTGTTGAGGATTGATTTGATATGTATTCGGCCATGTTCCGGCAGGTGTTGATTGCACAAAAGTTGGATAATACATATTTGATTTTATTCATTCAGAAGAAAAATATAACTTAAATATTGTTGTTGTTTCGAGTTTTGAAATATACGTGATATTAGCTGTGATGGAGTTAAGTTTTTTGCTTAAGAATGGCAATAGAGATTTATTGTAACTATAAATACGATTTTGACATTGACATATTTAATAATATTGTATGTTCTTTATTTTCATATGTTAAACGAATAAAATAAGACAAAAGAAAAAAAAGAAGTTCGTTGCTCAGCACTTCTCACTCAGTAGGCGGTCTTATGATTACATTGACAACCGGAAAAGAAAAGAACTATATCGTCTTTCTACCATTAACAAAATCATTCTTCGATTAACAATATATTCAATGAGATATTAATTATATAGACAACAATATGTCAAATAGTTAAAGATATTTTATTATTATTTATAGATATAGATAATTTATACAGCAATAGGAGAATATATATTCAAGTTAATTTTCAATACAAGTATAACTCCTATCAAAGTTTCGATGATTAAAAAATCAATATTTCCTTCTATCTCGATCTTCATAATAGAAAATATTTCTAAATTCTATTCCCTGAATATTCTTTTTGTAAATGTTTCATTTATTTAAACAAAAAAAAATTATCTATCCGTATACATTATACAAAATTTATGTTAAAATAAAACTTTAACAAAAAAAACTACATTATTTATTTGTTCCTGTATCAATATAATCAATAACAGCAGAACGTAGAAAGTTTAATCTTTGTTCTTCATCAAGTTTTAAACGATTAATTTCTTGATCACGATGTTTTATTATTGTTTGTAAATTAGCTAGACGATTTTCAAGGTCACGAATTGTAGTTCGATCAGTAAAACTTTGATCTATTATTAAGAAAATCTTTTTAAAAAAAAAGTTCTTTTTGTTTTTTTTATTAATATTACCTTTTAATTCGTGTTCTAATTCTTTAATACGATTTTTCAATTCATCATTCATATCAATATCTTTTTTAATTGAACGTAATTTTTTTTCATAATCTATTTTAGTGTTTTCACGAATGTCAAGAATTTCTGTTTCTTTATCCTGAATTGTCTGAAAAATAAGAAAAATTTTGTTCGAACATTAAAAAAGATTAAATAAATTTTACCATTTGTATTGATTCAATTTGTCGTTTAAATGATTCAATTTCAACTGATTGAAAATTTAATTTTTGTTGAAGTTCTCGATAAGCAATTAATTGTTGATTATAACGAGACTATGAAAAACATAATATATTGATTATACAATAAACTCTTCTTACGTGGACACTAGCCAGTTTTTCTCGAATTATTTTGTCTGGAAATTAACCTCTTGCATGTGGGTACCTCTCTATTCCAAACTATCTTCTAAACAGTCGTAAGTCAAGTTACATTAGGTCGATCCGAACAACAGACGAAACAAAAAATAATTTAAAAAAACATAAAATAATTTAAAAAAACATAAAATAATTTAAAAAAACATAAAATAATTTAAAAAAACATAAAATAAAAATTCGTGTTTAAGACGAGGAGAAAGAGAAAGTCCCTTCCTCTTAAATGAGAAGAATATGTGAATACGACCGCTTACAACTCAGCACGACACGTAAACGGACCATATTTTCTCTTAATTCTGCAGACAGTACTACGGCTAGAGCCCTCTAAATACATTCAATTTCTTTTTCTTCATAAAACGAACAAAATTTTACAAAAATTCAAAATACATTGTATGCATCAAAGTTTTCTTCAGAGCTGGGTCCGAGTTCTACCCGATGGGCTCTAACTACGGTACAATATGCAATATCGTATTTTTATCGAATACGACTGTATATGATTCATTATCTCATTATGATACGGTCATGTTACTGACCATACCAAAACTGCCAGAATAAATTACAATTGATTGAAAAATAATAATAGATTAAAATCAATGAATAGGTAATATATATTAGGTTGAAATCGTCAATGTAGAATAAGTCGGAAACAAATCAGATTTTAATCGATTTTTCTTTTGTAAGTAAAAATCGATTATAATGCATATAGGGTGTCCGGAAAGTCATTAGAGTTAGAAAAAATTGAATATTTCCGCTACGTCTCGAGCAAACAGGCTGATCTTTTTACCAATAACAGAGACATGTTCATACTTCAAATCCATACGGACAAGGTTAGCGAGAGCCTTTGTTAAATACCATCAATGACCTTAACAAAAAAACTTTTTACTTTTTTACAGATAGGAAAAAACAATAGACTTAACAAAGAGTCTCTCTAGGCATGTCTTTATGAATATAAAGCTTGAACATGCCTCTATCATTGATAAAAGAATCAGCTCGTTTGCTTCAGCCGTAGTGAAGATATTCAATTTTTTCTCGGCAAAGTGACTTTTGCGCCACTCTGTATGTTGTTTTTTTCCTATCTGTAAAAAAGTAAAATGTTTTTTTTGTTAAAGTCATTGATGGTATTTAACAAAGGCTCTCGCTAACCTTGTCCGTATGGATTTGAAATATGAACATGTCTCTATTATTGGTAAAAAGATCAGCCCGTTTGCTCGAGCCGTAGCGGAGATATTCAATTTTTTCTAACTCTAGTGACTTTCCGGACACCCTATAGATATCCATCGTGGCTGGAACTTTGTCGCGGTTCTAGAAGAGACAAGGCTACTGCACCGCTGCCACGATAATATATTCGAAACATCAGCCGCCGCACGGCTGTTCTAAAAAAAGTGCTGCTACCGGATCGGTGGCAGCAGCGCCGTCATATGCGCATCTCGAATAGAGTGACTATAACAACTATTTCAAAATAAAAATATCGAAAGTGGACACTTTGAAAAGGTCTCTTGAATGTTCACTATATTATAAATAAAGAATGATTATTACTTCAAGTTCGTCTTTTGAACTAGTTAATGTTCGTATACGATCTTCAAGTTCTTGTTGTTTTTTTTCTTCTTCATTTTTAATTCGAAATTTTTCTTCTTGAAATATTTCATCATGATTTAATTTTTGTGTTGATATAGTAGATTTAAGTGAATTTATTTCCTTAAAAAAAAAATAAAATGATTTAATGAAATGGTCAAAAAAAAACAAGAAATGATTTATATTACTCGTTCAAGTGATGTTCGAATATTTTCAAGTTTAGTTATTTGTTCTTTTAATGTTTGTTCTGTAGATAAATGAGCTTCTTTTAAACGTTGTAGATCTCGATTTGTTATTAATTCCTGATCTTTTAATTCTTCTTTATGTTTTAATTTTAATCGTTGATTTTCATCATCTATTGCAGTTAATTTTATTTGATGATCACGATCATTTATAGTTATCTACAGGGAGATACTTTCTTTTTTTTTTTTTTTTTTTTTTTTGAAAAAAACACAAAAGATAAGAACATACAGTTTCTCCAAGTTCACGTATTGTTGTTTGAAGTTTTTCATTTTTTCGTTCAAGATCATAATTTTTTTCATTTAAACGTCGTTGAATTTCTAAATTTTCATTTAAATCTCGTTGAAGTTTTTCTTGAATATCAATTAATTCCTAATGAATAAAAATAAATTTTTTTATTGAAATTTATTTAATCATATTATATTACATCTTTTTCTTGTTTAAATTCTCTTCGAATTTTATATATTAATTCTTGTTGATCAATTTCCATTTTTTTCATTGTATTTTGTAAATCATTATATTGTTGTTTAGCTTCAGTTATATCAGCTTCAAGTAAAGTATTTTTGGATGTTAATGCATTAAATGTTGATTTTCGATCATCTAATGCGTCTTGTAATTTTTTTAATTTTTCAGCTAATGATCTATAACATAAGAGGAAAAAGAAATAAAAAACAAACACATTATAAATTGATTAGATTTAAAATATATATTATTTACCTATTTGCTTTAAGCATAGTTTGTTCTTGAAGTGACATACGTGTTAATGTTGTTGTTATTTGATGATCTTTTTCTTCATGAACATTTTGTAATTGTCTTGAAAGTATAGCCATATTTTGTGAATGATCAAAATGCATTTGACGTTGTTCAGTATTTTTTGATAATACATTAGCTAAAATATCGAAAAATAGAAATTCTTAGAATGATTGAGGAAAAAGAAAACAAACATACTAATACTCTGCATAATATCATCAGGAATATTATTACCAATTAATTGTAATTCATTTAAAGTTGAATTTGATTGACATGAAACTAATAGAGCTCGACCACCAATAAGTCCAACATTATTCCAACGAAGATCTATTCATGTTTATTAAACAAAAAAAAAATTTTTTTTTCGTAGATTAATTATTTCAAATATATACCTAATGAACGTAATGTTGTATTTCGTTTTAAAGCTGATGCTACTTCTGTACCACCAACATGATTTATATCATTATTACGTAAATCAAGATCAATTAATGTTTTATTATCAGCAAGTGCATCACAAAAAATACTAAATGCTGGAGAATTCATAGAACCCAGTTGATTCCATTCTAATCGTAAACTAAAACAAAATCATTTAAAAATAAAAATGATTCGTATTGTTTTTATTTATCATAGAATTCATTTCTAGATATGATGATAATGAAGAATGATCATTTCTATAGATTTAGTAGAGGATTATGCACTACTATGAATCAAAATCAAGTTTAAAGTACTGATGCGAAGAAATAAGGTCTCAGCTTCTCTAACAACAGTTGAGTTCCCTCTGCAGACTTTGTTCAGAGGAATGACGAAGGAATATTTCCAACTGTCAAATCGCTTTCCACTTGAAATTATTCTCATTCGATCAGTCATGATGAATAGTGCAAAAAGTTTGGTTTCCGGTCTTCACTTTTCGAGTTATGGGCGTTTTAGTTCATTTTTGTCCTACCAGCATAGGATCGCTGAGAATTCAAATGTTCGAATTTCGAGCTGAAATTTTGTTCATAGATAGGCTTTATCATCAATAGAAATACTCTACAGTTTAAGCTAGAGCGAATGTATCTGTATTGAGATCTGTGATTGTGATAGAAACACTCGTTTTTTTTTTGAAAACACGTTCCAAACCGGCGTTGCTTGAAAATGTAAATATCTTAGCAAGGAGACCATTCACTCTGTCTGAAGTTTTCGGATATTTCTAGTGACTATAAGGCCTATCTATTGGCAAAATTTCGGCTTAAAATTTGACGTTCAAGCTCTTAGCGATTTTATGTTCGTAAGCCGAAAATCGAGTAAAACACTTCTAACTCGACAAGCATAGACCGGAAAGCCTAACCAAAATAGACTTTTTTTATCACTCATCGTTATCAAGCGAAACGCAATTGGACAGTTGGGAATATCTTCGAAAACTCAATTAAGTACAAGAATAGGCGATATTGGATAT